TGGACTGTGATGGATGATGAACCGACGGTCAGTGTCAAGTGTCTGACAGACTCGACTTTTCGGGGAAGTTTACTTCGATGGAAGCCAACATCACTGCTTGCTGTCTGAAGGGAAAGCGTTACCTCCTCCGCACATCCATTGCGGCTAACAGGAAGTCTTTATCCGCAAGCTTTATCGTAGCACAATGCTGACCCTTCTTCGTTAAACTACTATCCTTTGGCATCCGCGGTCTGGATAAACCCCGTCACCAACCAGAGCGAGTCAAATGCAGCAAAGAGTAAAGGAAAACCTAAGGATTACTTTCACAAAGAGCGAATCACCCCAGTTTTAGTTCGGAACGTTCGGAACTTAAGAAAGCCGGCCAGTTGATCAAGCGATTGATGTCATTACGGAATTTGTTGCGCAGATATTCCAACACGAAGATGCCGGCCAGCGAATTTCTGCCTGATCCCTGATCATGTGTCGGTGTGATGAATAGTACACTCCATCCATGGGTTTTCTCGTAATATCTGTTCTGGCATAATACCACTCAATCAGGTGGGAGCACAGGAACGTCCTCGGAATCTGATAGATTCAAACTGATGGTCTTTATAGCAAAATAGAATCAAACAAAGAAGTTGGAAAATTGAAATGATCCTATTGATTCGGGGAGCCAGCCATAATAGACAACGAAATCTACACATTTTAAGAAAGATTCTGTGAGGTGTGCGTCTCCATACCGAGATGCTTTGTGTATGCAAGCGGAAGTTGTTAAAGGAGCTTGAGAGTAGTTAGAGAGAATTACCACTTGGGTGCTTCGCCCATCTCAAGCTGAACGTGGTCATTCGTGGTGCAATATGTTTCGACTATATGCATACTACTCCTTGTTCCCGTGTGACTACTTGATAAGGGACAACATCAATCAGATCGAACTGTTGAGCTGTTTTTGGATGAAAGCCGTGTTTTGTTCGCATCACTACATTATTTGGGAAACATAAGCTTATTCTTTGTGATTCTGTTCTTAAGAATGTGCGCACAATTACTTTAGTTCATTTTCCATTGAATGGGTGTCTCAAGGGGGCACTGCAGTCGATGAAAAATCATGTTTTTGTATGTGTTTCCGGTTAGCGAATTTTATGCACCTGTTGACTAACTTCGTAACCCTAATGGAAGCTTGATGAATCCGAACTTCTACCTCCAATTTTACTCATTATTTTATCATATCAAACTAGCACATATTTAGTAAGTTGCTCCGAAATTCCTAAACTGTGACATACTACACCAAACAATAGAACAATCAATTTTGCAAGAATTATCATGATGTGCCGCATTCGGTTTCCGAAACTCCCCCCTCTGTTTAAGCTTTGATTGACAGTATCTCGTATGTCTCGGTTCAGTCAGGGCTTGCGTAGTAAGCTTGCAAAATACTAATTTCTTTCACTGAAATTCACGCCTTTTTGAATTCATATCTCCTGTTTTCAATCAAGTTTCATACACGAAATACTTGTGTTGTTTAGTATTTTTCGCAAACATTCAAGACATCGTCTATTTTCGATACCAAATAATGGTAAATAATGTTCAGGTGTAACACCCTTTTGGTGCCCAGCTGCCATGCCACCCGAAGGAAACACGAGGGCTGAGATCCTATCAGTTTGGCCAAGCCTAGATAGGAGAAGTCGGGACGCACAGGTTGGGTTCGAACCACGGAACTTCGGATCAGTAATTTCGTGCTCTAACCAGTGAGCCATGGCTGATTCATGACTACTTGTTTTAGGCTGATTTCAATTTTTATGGAAGATACACTGAAGGATTAGAATGTCAGAATTATGCTTCAGAATACTGTCATTTGCTTGACACTCACATGGCCGGCAGATCAGAACAAGGAATCCGGTTGCTTTAAAAACAATTTTTTCAGCAGATGGACAGCTAGAATTTTGACATTTTTCATAGAAGTACCGGGAGATAATAATCTACTCAATTTGCTCATCAATTTGAGAGTCTGATTCTCCATAAAAGTACGCAAAAGTAGTAAAGCAGTTCGGTGAAGAAAACGCGGTTGCACTTGTGGATAAGGTCATTCGGAAAGAATTTGTCAGGTGAAAATACAGAGTAACATTTTTGTTTTCCAGTTCATTCCTAAATTACTCTGCTGTTTTGTTCTCAATAACTAGATACAGTCAATGAGCTGAAACTAAACCCAATGTGAAGCCTAGAATTAATCAATGCTTAAGTAACAAATTCGTGTTATGACCATCCCATGAATTCATTAGTCGCAACAGGTGACATGCGGCAACAGTGCTCTGCTCCCTGATCATTTTTGGCTCAATCCGTAAATTATTCAGCTGACTGATGTTTATGACCTTTATCAAACGCAATCTAGCCTACATGAAACCGCAAGCTACGTAAATCTAGATGATGTCGTTTGGTAGCCGGTTATTTCATATGTGGTTTTTATTAATACTTCAGAATGACCTCAGAGGTGTTCAGCACCCGGATTAACATAATTTCCCGCAAGCCTAACGACGAAGAGGGACCTCCGCCCTTGATATTTGTAGGATTCTTTGTCACCAGCGTGGGTTGAGACAACCTGAAAATGCGTCGCCTCTCAAACGCCATACGGTGACCGTAGACGGTGCAGAAACTCCGGTAATTCTGGCTGAAAGGCGGTCCAGTAACACTATTCCAATTCCAAGCAAATGCTACAAAGCAACTCCACAAGTTCCGTAATAAATCTCACTTTTTAAGAGCCACGAAGCGGATTTAGGAGAAGACATACTACTTGCATGTCCCATCAGTAGTATACACCGTTACACCACTGGTGTCTCAGTTAACAGTGAAATTCCCACCGCACCACTTCTTTCGTCGGTTTCCTACTGATTCGACTGTTTCCCAAGGTAAACGGGGCAACATGAGTGAAGCGGCCCATGAATATTTGACTAAAATAGTCATTCAATCTAGTAGTTTCACGAAACGTGGTCCTGCTTCCAACCAATGGGCTTGTTCGTTGGTCCTGCCGACTTCAGTCAGTTCGGGTCTTGAAGGGATCATTAGGCTTCATGTACTGCGGAAATGATCCCGAATTCTCACTCAGAAGATGGAGGCTCTATGTTAAAACACATTTAATGCTGAAGTATTCTGCAGTAAAAAGGGCTTATTCAGCGGTATTGCATTTCCCAGGCGACAGAGGCTAGCTAAACCATGATTGATCTTGCTAACTTTATTTAGCCATGATTGGGACTTTGTTCTGATAGTCTGATAACAAAAGGTGAAGATATTTGTACGTGGTGCTGCAATGTGCCAAAGAACTTCGGCGTGGACTAGCGACCTTATGTGAAAAAACGGATGAAAACTGAGGGAAATTAAACTTACTCTGAACAAATTTGGACTCTTTTGAGCATATGCAAGCTCATTGTTAAAAATTTACGTCTATTTGTAGCCTCCAAACTATGTGGAATGTTTTCTCGGGCTTACTAATTTAAATCTTTCAGTAGACGTTACTTATGTTGAAAACTTTTTCGCATAATTAATTGAAAGCTGGATGTTATAAATTAATCCTCCTAGGGGAATTCACCCCAAGGAAATACAACTGGCATTTTCTACGAATCAATGGCTTCGTGGTGATCGATGAATAGGCTTCTATGGATTCCAGTTGGGCTTCCCACAAAGGGTTTATACTTTTGCACATCATAAACCTAAACCAACCCCTCCCATATCCTCTCTCCCATGGAGGTCAGCCCATAACCACCGGGAGCCCCGGCGGAGAGCACCTTAGAAGGAGCATTCAGTCCCGATCCCAACGCTCTCAGTCTGTTAGTAACGCATAAACCATCAAGAACAAACGCGAAATTTCACAGAATCTCATTCGACTATCAGCTCTCATCACAATAATTGTGGATTTTATGAAGCAAATGCGTAAAGAATTGCAGACAAAAACAGCATGGCATGGTAATCGATTGATAAAGAGGGTTTATATCGGAGAGTTAGTATGACAATGCAAGACTGGAAGGTGGGGTCACATCGTTGTTCATGGGACGTGGATACGAAAGAGATGATAGAATGGCTGAGAATGAGAGCGGAAATGGACTTGATGTGCCGGGTTGGGTTGTGTGCTTGTGGTCATCAAACCAAGGCCCAGTTGAAAACCATAACCCTATGGATGCAGAGATTCACACCGTCTTTGTCCAACGCAGAGGTGACTTCCTAGTTTGGGCAAAAAAACAATCCGGGATGATTTTGGGGTTTTGCGGGATAGGTATGTTTGTTCACAGCCAGAACAGGAACACGACCGTTCAAACGAGAGTGGTGTGGCTATGAACAAAAATCCGGGATGATTCCCATGTGTCGCTGAATGACAACATCAGAAAGCGCTGGGTGATGGATGATGGGGTTCGGTGGTTTGTCCATTAATCGGACTGACCACCTACGAATGTTTCCAGATACTTGAAGTGACTGGTGCCACGTGGTCCTACCTACGCATTCCCTTCTCTATGTACAATGATGTAGGTGCACGCTGTTTAGATGTGAAGGAAAATGTCTGGCGCGCAAATGACGGCAGTATATTCGATGTTTAGTCTTTATATGTTCATTTTGTTCAGTTTTCAACTTAAAACTGATGTCTTTTTAGCTGGTAATGATAGCCCATAAACCTATTGGTTACGGTGCCCTTATTCTGTCGAATGGCCTGTCTACTCGTCCAATTCAACAGGGTAAAATGGCGTCCAGAATATCGTGTACGATTGGACTGAACAAATTCAGTAGATTAGAGGGCTACGTGACGGTGATAAACCCATCGTATGAAACTATATATAGTGCTCAACGTTTCTATTACGTGTTCTTCGCAATAATTCATTTTTCACCTCTGAATGGTAGCCTATTAGATTTCCTCCAAGTAGTGAGTGCCGAATAACCAAGCAATTGAGAATTAAGTACCGAACATCCGGCTGAATTTAAAAGAATCACACCTTTGTTTGCCTCTCCTAGCTGAAAAGTGTAAAGATCCTGTTTTCCTTCGCGCAGAGAATATGATGAAATCAAGTGCCGAGACTTCGATGGCAATGTACGGTGATATGCAACAGTCAGTGCAATATGCTGGTAAGCCCACGTAATACTGAGTTGAATGTTGTTCCTGGAAAGTGGGAATCAGACGTGACATGCATGTTCACAGCTAAGCAAGACGGAAATTTGCGTAACCATGTGTTTGCATAACTGTCTAACTCGGTGAGTGGACAGTCGATCAACCTGGACGAGTCTCCGACATTTCCTCGAAAAAATATTTCACTACTATTTGTTTGTAAGTAGCCCAAATAGAGCTCAAAAATGGAATCTTCGAGGGTCTGGCGACAAACTCAATGCAAGGTGTGAAGTAGTTGGAGGCTGAAATCAAAAGTAATAGAATTTTGATGTTAAAGACCATATTCGACTGATCAGGTCCCTGAACTCCGATAAGTGTTTCATCATTACTCCCCGTGTCACATTCCACGTGTCGTGTTTTCTCAGTTAAAAAAAACATGGACTATGTTCTAATCAGCATGTGCCTGCTCTCGAAATCTAGATTTGCATGAATTTCGCTTTTACATAAACCCTATACAGCATGTGATTGTATAATTTTTTCGCTTTTGTATATGCAACATGGTTGCGAAGATATCCCCATACCATACAGCCCTTAAAATTAAGTCTTTCTTTGGAAGAAACGCACTCCCCTTCGCCTGATCATTCCAACATCCGGCCTGCTTCCCCTTACAAGACATAGCTTCAGGGACAAAAATATATGTTGGAGGAAATGCTTTCAATCGGCCTCATTCAGCAGTATATTTTACATAATGTGTAATGGACAGTTCATCATTCAGTCCGTCTATGTTAGCCCGCATGGCAAACTTGTCGCAGGAGTGTGAAATGTCCATAAGGTCAACCAGACATTATCCAGACTTCAACGGCTAAAGGGTGAACAAAGGTCTGCCGAAGATCGACTTCCGTGACACGTAACCAATACTTGGAGAAAGAACGAGTTCACGGGGACAAATATGCCTAAACACCTAACTCAGACAAAAACACCAAACTACAACAGTTTGTTTAAATACACTCCAAGGTCATTCGCGGGCCACTGACAGAATATTCATTAAATCATTCAATACATCCTCTGAGTGTATTAGATTTTCACCTACCGGTTTTCCTCTAATCATACACAGGCAGAAAGACTGATTACCGGCCCACCCTTTCCTCACTGATGTCAATGGCATTCGCTGCACTCAAAGAGTTCAAAACGGTGCCTGGCATCTATATAACGGGATGCACTGTAAAGACAGCGTGATTCTCCCCTACCTAACAAAACCAAAGCAAAAAAACTGAGTACATCATTTGAGTTTGTTTGTCTTGCGACTTTACGGTTTCACAACGTCGATCTCACTTGACCCTAATTTTTCATCTGGAGCAACGCACTCTAAACCGCAGTCAACAGTGAATTCAGTGTATTGAATCGAAATAACTCATGGCAGTCGTCTCAAACTAACTAGGTGGAAAAATAATCGGTCCAGGAAAAATTAAATTCGATAATTAAACGGTAAAGGGATTGCGGATTTCTGATTTGCGGTTTTTGGCAAATGCCTCCCGCGGCAAATCTAATGAAGGTTGTAGATTGATGAACAGAAATTTGGTGGAGAATTAACGGACCAGTTAGTGCGAAAAACTACAAAGTAAGAATCATGCTCAATTGCTAAGTCCATGCATGGAGGCCAGCCATCCCTAATAACCGAACATCACATCGTTTGGACGAATGTGTCACGTGCAGGACACAGACCAAAAGAAGGTATGCTCTGATTGGTCAGAACGCCAGCCAATCCAGATCGAGCACCTTTAACTCGACGCATCCCGCCCCCTCACAGTGATTCTAGCACGGCCTTGTGAGACACCCTATGAATACGGTTGTAATAATTTTCCTGTCTCCATAAAGGGCTGTGTAGGGCTACCGTGCCTTTTGATATATCATAGTGGGCGGAGCAGGAAGCCAAAGGACCGATACAAAGTTGCACTGCTGTTCAGCAAGACACAACAGTCTAGTCTTAAGAGGCAAAATATACATAATATCTCTCATGGCTCCAGAATTGTATGCTGAAACCACCACGAGAATCGGATACTATCAGCAGAACTCAGTTAAAGTGTTCTGATTTCCGAAAATAAGTTTATCTTCCATTCCAATCAACTGGTATTCACATATGTCAACGAATATTGTTCATCCAGGATGCTGGTTCTTGGTGTAAATTTGTGTGTCCCTCACTTTCAGACAAAATGATGACGGTATTGTAACTATGGTGGAAAGCTTGTTACTAGTTCTCTGAGTTTCACTCAAATATATATCGGTATTTTCATGCCGGTGAGTAGCAAGTTGGGTCTCCATGACACTTGATCAGCAACAGTGTTATTTTTTAATCTTTTTGTCAATTCTATGGGAAAAAACACCAATCAACTAGACCGTTTTAGCCGACCAGATGGTATGCGTTACAACAACTGAAATCTCGGGGCATTTCGCTAGTTCGTCAAAACATTGTATTGAAACTCACCTGTTACGGACAATATGCAGATTAGAATGCAGCTGGTAGTGCACTTGTTTTCTGAGTTTGGTAATTTTGTTGCAACGAAATTTCCAAGCTCAATGAACGTTCAGCGACTGACACAAGCTTCCGATATTTAAAATTCCAAGAACTAAACACGATCACGGTTGGCTGGTGTGTACAAAGGTTTTATACTTGCAGACCAATCATTCAGCTGGATAAATGTTACCTGTGAAGAAAATCGATATTTCACATCGTCCACCACTGATGCGGAACCTCGGACAAATTCGTGTGTGAACCTTGTCCTCAGGTATTCAGTGCGTGAACTTACCGCATCCGGCAACGTGTCCCAAAGATAGGCAAAGTCGGGTACTCACTCCGATCCTTAGCTCGAACCCGCAAGCCTTTGATGCATAGTCCCCTCATAACAAAAGAAAACTAATAGCCTCTGGTGCATCTGAGTAAACAAAATGTGCTTTGAGTTCGTATTGCATGACTTTTTATCTACTCGTTTGGACAAACTTCATAAGACTCTCAAATTCCGTCTGTTCATGTTCTTATAAGTAACATACACGATTGGACGCCGACAAAAACAGTTCACAGAACTTTTACCCCTTGTTCACATGCGGTGCTGAAATCATCTTCGAAAAAACACGCTGACTTTTATGACTAATCAGTGTCAGATGTGGAGCATCAGCTGGGTTGTCCCTTGATTTGTACAGCTACAGGCGTTTACTGGGAATGATCTGGGAGATGGTCTGGATTCAGGCCGCTGTTTCTGTTGTTTTCTGGGCGCACTATGCGGATCCATCGCATATATATACGTTTGGAATATTAAGCATTGTAGTGAACGTCTGTGTAGCTTTTACATACTCAAACACAGAAAGTACCGCGTGGACTTTCCGCCACTTTGACTTCCTATTTCATGGATTCTCAGAGGGAAACATTTTTATCCAATTCCAGTGAAAACTGTACTGTTGTTGCTTCATCTTATAGTATCATTTTAAGATATGGGAGAATTTACCTCACATTTATTGTCGCTTCCTGGGAGACTGTATTCGTAATCGATGGTTTGGTCCGATTTGCACTTGAAATCCACTGACTGTATGCTGTGCACTGGATCATATCTATTCTTTCAACCAAACCCTAGACGCGGATGACAGTATCCCAACACCAGCAGTGCGGAGCTACATTTCACCAGATCAGCATTCCAGTCCTTCCAGCAATGTCGGTCTTCCAGGAGGGCAGCAAGCAAAAAGGAGCAAAAAGTTAACTTGCGGCTCTAGTAGACGTTACTCTTCGACCACCGGACAGCCGGGACTACCTCCAGGTATGATGTCAAACCTAAATCTACAACTCCCACAATTGGACAGTATACAACGTACACAGAAAATATTGGATATGCGCTTGCAAAATCTCCAGGTGGGTGAAATGTGATCATCATTTATGTATGATATTCAGAGATCTTCCATCATTGCGATCGCTTGCAACCTTGCCAAAAATTGACTTTAATCTATGGTGAGACCTCAAGAACCAGGGAAAAACAGCTGAAGTCATTTTGACGTGTATTAAAACGTATGTCACAAAAATCCTGTTCAGTAGCAGAACTCACAGCATTTCACAGTGTTGAAAACAATCGGCTAAAAAAACAAGTTTTGTAGACTGTTTCGTGGCAATCTTTGTCCTGACTGACGGGTCAATCGATCGCCCGAACCAGGACAGTTACTGGGTCGTCGTTCGATGAGTCGGGCAAAAATCAATCACATCGCTCAAGTGTGAACACGTTCGCCTGTTCAGACATGATTGTTCAGATGCGTCCAACGTGCGTTGGTGGAGTAGTGGTTACACGTTCGCCTCGTATGTCAGATGTCCGGAGTTCAAATTCCGGCACGGCCATTGGATATGCACTGCTGATGAGCTCTAATAAGAGCGAAACTCGAGTCCAGTGCTTC